AATTATCTCCAGGCAGAAAGGGGGGGGGGGGTCACTCACTTTAATGAAATTTTCTAAAAGGACTCCTGCAATATAGTATATGATCACAAGAAAAAAAACTTGAAGTCAATATGCATTTCAGATGCTATAAATAGTAACTCAAGTCTTTATGCTGTTATATGCTTAATCATGTGATCAAGTTTGAGCCAATCAGAGAGCTTAGAATAAAAGGTAATATCACCTTTTCGTGCTAAATAGGTGCTATCACCTATTTGAATAAGTGGTATCACCTATTCAAAAAGGTGATATTACCTATTTGAGTTTCTTACAACAGTCAATATTTACATTCGCTGTGTTTTTCTAGTAAGCCAACTGTGAAATTGATTTGAAAACCATTTTCGTGTATACTTACGTGTAGAAATATACACGGAGAAATGTGCGTTAACCTGACGTCACAATGAGGTTGCAGCGACGTTAGTAAAAATGCAACGATATATGGCAGCGAAAAATTCAAATATTTAGCATATTTTAGTTGCTTCCAAACATGTAAAATGTAAATATAAGGAATGTTTTTAAGTTTAGTGTGAATTATTGTTGTGTGAATCACACAGACTTGCACGTAGGCATATTTTTCATGAAGCGCTAGCGCGCTTCATGAAATATGCAATCGACTTTACAAGTCTGTGTGATTCACACACCAATAACTTACACAAAACTTTAAAACATTCCTTATAAATGAATGCTCCTAAAATATATATTATACTACACTGGAACCAAGAAAAAAAGGTATACCCAGTTTCATGCGTCTCCTACGATTTTCTTATTGTATACATGATATTTAAGTGAAATAAATTAATTTGTAAGCAAAAAAAAAAAAGCTGTTCCTTGGACTGGTGATATCACCCAATCGAATAGGCGATATCACCAATTCAGAGAATAAGTGATATCACCTTTTCGAATTGGTGATATCACAAAGAAATCAAATAGGTGATATCATCTATTGGAACAGGTGATATCACTTATTCAAATAGGGGATATTATTTTTGCAGTAAATACCAAAACGGGGCCTATATGCTATGAATTAAATCACAGTAGTGAAAACCCAATCATAAATATGTGTTTTTATGCTGTTGAATTTTGACGTCACAAACATGACGTAAATTTAAGTTTTTTTATGAATTACAGAAAAATTTAACACCTTTGGTCTATATTTTGAGTAAAAGTCACCCGGGTCACATGTGTGTTCAACCCGGATCAATATTTTGATATAATGGCACACCGGCCCTGGATCCGCATTTGTGACATGTATACATCCCTAGGACCTTGCAACACTATAACACCAACAACATAAGAACATTTGATCATTTTCTTCTTTCTGAAAAAGGAATAAAAGTACCAGTGGTTTAAAGTAATATCTTGCTAGCTGCTTTTGGAATTTTTTTTTTTTGGGGGGGTACTATTTACATGTAAAGCTGAACATTTCTAATAAATAGGCACTGTAAAACGGGTATATAAACAGTTCGATTTTGTTACACCCGATATGCACACTCGATACAACATGTAGTACTCATTGCGTGGTTTTAATGTTTTTATGTGCATTTTCTGCTTGTAAATGATTTCAACCGCTCATTATACTTTTGTCCTGTTTTGGAAAAAGTATATTAACTTTGATAATTTCATCACGACCGAGTAGCACGGCTATGTAAGATGTACGTCTACACTTGTCGGATCTTTACAGCAAAACACATTGAACTGATAAGCGATATGCTCCTTATATATGGGTTGTAGGGAAGAACAGGAAATATGGCGGACTATGCCTTTTTACGAGTAGTATTCAGCTAATCAAGAAACTTGTCATTTGACTCACCTTAAATAGTACTTATTTGGAAGAACTTAAGTTACATTGGATACATGTATCACTTAAGAATTAGGACATCATACTCCCTCCCTTTTCAACAGTTAGGTCGGGACCACAAATACATTTAATCTTTCCAAGGCTAAACTGATTTTTGCTTTGATCCCAGCTAAGGTGCTCAGGTGAGGGATGTGGTCCCTGAGCCTATTGTTTCAAATTTTAATTGATGCATATTTTTTTCTGCTTAATTCCCTAACACTGCTCTTTTTGGAAGAATAGAGTTTGAAAATTTTGAAATGTGAAAATCTACTAGTATGTTAATTATGACTAAAACAATGTCTTTATATTGATCATCTGAGTGAACTATATAGCAATGTGATTTTTTTTTTAATTTAGGATAAAATAAAACATACATATTTTACAGTTGAAGGCTTGTTGTGGTTTCGTCCCTGGAAAATGTTTCTCTAATATTTTGTTGTACATGTGTTTCAACCTTTATATGTAACTGTGAGACTGACATCGATAGAAAACTCGTCTAACTTTTACGGCCTGGAACCTTGCCACTTGTTTGTTTAGGTACAAATGTTAACTACAATACTCTAAACATATTAAAAAATGCCATATTTTTTTCAAAATTTATGACATGTTGCCATGGTTACAGTGACACATAGCAACCAATTTTTTGCATAACTTTCAATAACAATGTCAGACTTTAAAGGGAGTTTTAAGAAATTCAGAGACAGTACATACCACATGTACAGCTCCTATATAAATGTTCAGGTCTTTATAGATTTTATAGGGTAAAAATGAGGTCTACCAAGTAGAAACATTAAAATTTTCTAGATGAAACTGATTTACACCAACTTTGACAATTTTAGTTGCGCTTGGTGCATTCCCCCCCCCCCTTAAATCTGCTGATAATAACTTTTCATGATAGCTACATGCTCATTGTTGTTGCCATGGGTTAACCTTAAAAGCACTCTGAGATTATTGCTAAGCAATGCATGTTCCCCTTTTCTCTAGAATGTCATTTTATAATATGCAAAAGTTATGACCAAGGTAAAAGTGTTTGATGTTAAAATTTTGAGGTTATGCATGACTTTAATCTACTGGTAAAAAAAAAATAATAAAACACATAACGGAATTCGAAATTCATCTGCTTTTGGCTTCATGTTTACCATGTTGACCTTTGGAATTTAGCGCAGCACGAACCCGATCTTAAACCATCATGAAAAAATTAAAACACCATATTAAATCTATCAAAAATCAATGAAGCGTAACGACATTCAAAGTTAATCTGTAACTCACTAAGATACACTCACATTCCGAAATTTAGCTCAATATCTGCAAGCGTTTAGAAAATAAGTGTGGAAACCCGAGTAGGACAGACTTACACACAGACATGGGGACAACTAGACCGATGGACAGACTCAGAGGAAACCTAAAGCCCCCTCCAGTTTCACGGGCTGGGGACTTATAAAGTACAAAAAATGTACTCGTGCTCTTAAATCACTGTGGTTTGTCAAACACTGAATAATCTATTTACAAACATATATGAGTGCGTGTCAAAAGTTGATTTATATTCTTTGTTGCTATGGAGAATTTTCTGTTGCTATGGCAATTAGTATTTGCAAAATATTCCTGAATTCACAAAGAAGTCTCAGAAATAGGTTTTTACTTTAAAAATGGATTTTGATATCCACAGATAAGATTTAATTCCATAAATAACTCGCATATTTGACAATTTGTCTCTTTCTCTTAATCAAAACATCCATTTTTGTTGCTAGGCAACCGACTGTAAATATCAAAAAACACACGTTTTTGAATTTAAATTCCAAAAAGGATATTCCTCTGCCTTTATGCAAAATATGCCATACTCTTGTATTGTGCCAGAAGTTTGAGATATATGGCCTTGAAAATTGCCCAAATTAACAAAAATGCTGAATCAGCAAAAAATGCAAAACATGTATATCTTCCATTGCCCGTAAAAGAAATATCTTAAATTAAAAATTCTATGTATTACATGGTTTAATCACTTGAAATGTTTATCTTTATGATAACATTATTTAAGAACCCCTCTGGTAATATTCACATTCATTTTCAAGCCTCTAAGTTTAGTGATTTATTTGTCCATCCACATTGAAAATTGACCGGTTGCTAGGGAAAATTTCTTTGGCCATGTTTCCATAGTAACCAGGACCCAAAATAATTTTCATTTTACATACGTGGTTCATAGTGCAAGAGAAACCTATGTGTGTAAAATCATCGAATTCTGAGAACCCTCATGATTCACTTTTATACACATATTGTCTGATTCTTACAGAGACCTGTACTTAAACAGCATATGTATTGATTACATTATGGTGTATTTTGTTTTATATCATTTTCTCTTTCAGATTTACAAAAATGACTGAATTATTAAACATTGACACAAAGATCTTCAAGACTCAAAATAGAAGACTGGGATATTTAGCAATCCATTTGACAATTTACTTGTCTGCATTAATTCTCTTTGAAAGCTAGTCTATTTTTAAGCTTTGAAATGAAATATTTAAAGTATTAAAGACAAGTGTTCGATTGTCTTGTTATTTTTTTGTTCCTTTTTAAAGCCTGATTTGGAGTTAGGTGTCCATGTTACTTACATAATTTCTCCTTTTATTGAAACTAGAAATAAAAATTGTGACTTTTAAAATAAATTCCATTTAATATAACATTAAACATGATTTATCATACCTTATTGATTACATTATTTTCATATTTTAACAACTTGTTAATCTCTAGTAATATGTTACTTGTTTATGCTTATGTAAGTAACGGTGTCCATTGGTAATCTTGGATATATTTTCTGATTATAATGGAATAAGGCCGAAATAACTCAAGCATGCAAACTAGTGTTTATATACTTCAAAAATGATTTACCAGAAAAGAATAGCTTATTGATTTAAAAAACAGTCACTGTGGACACCAAGTTACGTACATAAAATTTCAGACATGCTTGTACATTTGGACACCTATCTCTTTTTAAAGACTTCAGATTATCTTCCCATCATTTTTTTTCAGAAGCAGGAAGGGTACTGACTCAATTAATATACATAAATTATGAAATTGATTATTTTTAAAAAATAGCCCTTTGGTCACACATTTGAATTCAGTTCTGAAGAATGAGTTATATGTATAGTATACAGTACAGAATAATATACATGTACAAGGAATTATGGCTACCTTCCTCCATTTTTCCTTTGACTGATGGATGTGACGTTACTTTGGATCCCGGGTTTATTTTATGACTGACCAATGCTATTGGAGCTGAAAAATATTTTTAAAATGAAATTAAAAATTCAAGCATTATACAAAGTGACTTTCATACAATTTTATCCACGTACTGTAATTCACTATAGTTTGCAAGTTAATAGCACATATTGTCATTTTTTTCCCTTAGATTTTTTAGCAATTTTAATGCATCCTACCCATTTCAAGTATCTACAGTTCAATATTTTTGCATAATGACTATACAGATAGTCTTGCAAAACAGCATGTAAAGGTCTCATCAATGATTTAAATACAGGTAAAAAACATTATTTCCAGTTTTTATATCAAGAAGAATCTTAAACTTTGATTTAAGACCAGCCTCAAGAACAAACTAAGATATATATATATATATATATATATATATATATATATATATATATATATATGTTTGTATATGTTTACTATAAACCTTTCTTTTAGAACTTTCTATCTTGTCATTGTAAGAAACCTTTATGCCTTCTAGGCCCAAAATTGGAAATAAAATTATCTTACACTATAGTGAAAAAAGAATCTTACCTGCACAAATGGCAGCTATTAACTTGTGGTTCTCCACCTGTGATTCTAGGAGACTTTTAACCTCAGAGGACTGAAATAAGAAACAGACAAAGTCACAAAATAAATTATTTCCAGAATATTTTCCTTGAAATATTTGATAACATGCATGTAGTCCTAGAGAAACAAATGCCCCCTCCCTTAAAAAACAAAACATGGGCCATAATGCTCCCCTGAATCACCTTGGCCCTAGTGTTCTTCAGTACTTGGCCTCAGTCTAATCAGGGGGTCAAGAATTGAACAAATTTGAATCTACACTATCAGAGGAAACTTGCATTTTAATATGTTTAATTAATCATGGCCATGTGTTCTTTCCTTGATTCTTCTAAAGGTCAAAAACTTGAATCTACATGACTTGACAAATTCAAGGTTTGCACATTCTATCACTTATCATGATGTTTGTTGTTCATGAAAGTTAGATTTTTTTGACAAAGAATGAATCGTTTAAACGTCCACATTTGGCCCCCCGATAATTTACAAAAAATAAGTTTAAAGGATTTCTACATATTTTTGTCTTAATCTTTTCATCAAACATTGTAGTTTATTAATTTCATTTTCAATTTTCACTTACTTGCACTGTAATTGGGTATTTATCTGATTAATATAGCAGGGGTACGTTATTAACTTGTTTACATTGATTTCCCATAGACTTTAGGCCACACCCCCATTTTGAAAGCCCAATTTTTATATGAGCGCATTGATGTTTCAAGTTGTAGTAAATAGGATCAATGTAAAGAGTTAAACTTGTCATTTCAATTCATGAAAGAAATTGAAACAGCCGTGCGCTCACGTTATTTTCCAAAAAGGTGCAAAATCACGGGTACCTGTGTCTATAGTAAAGGCACCTTGTTTACAAATTTCAACCCGCCTTTGACCTCATAAATAACAAAGCATTGAACACGTGACTCAAATCTATTCACTTTCATAATGCGACATCGTGTCCAGTGTTGCGAGCTATCGATGGTCAAATCCTTTTCAAATAGGTAATTAGAATTTAAAGTACCATGGGATAAAATTTCTTTAAAACGGTATATTTAAAACTTGTTCACATTTTTGATTTACTTGTTATTTCAGTCAATCTTGTTTGATTTTTTTCCCGGTATTTATCAATATATTTTGGAGGCTTGTAGCATAAAGCTTGCACTTACTGCTTATATCTCATTAATACAGAATTTGAAAAAAAAAAATACCGAGGGAATTTATATTATCAATTTGCATACATGTACATGTACATCACATCAGCGTTACGTTCATTGACTCTTGGAAGATAAAAAAAAAATTACGATCGTTATTTTAAAAAATACCAATTTTCATATCTTTAGAAAATAAACCGTTTGTTACAAATGCGTAATTCCAATTAAATAAAAGAATCCTTACGGAAAAGAATTTGAAGTGTGAGGCATTAAAAAGATTTATATATCGAAAGAAACACATGATTGCACAAAATGCACCCCTACATGTAATATTAAATAGAGGGAAACTCCGGGTTTCATCTGACGACACTACAAATGGTATAACTTTTTACATCGGCACAAAATCTAACAACAATGAAAGATTTAAATATTAATATTAGTATGTAACAATAAATCGAATGAAAAAAGGGTGTATTTTTTTTCTTTGAAATGGTTCATTGTTTATAACACTAGAGGACGAGAATTTTTTTAACAATGCAACCTGGACTGTACAAAGTCAACTGTCTAACACTGAAGGTTTTTTTTTTATATCCAGCAACGATAATATTGACGTTAAACTGACGTTTAGTTTTCACTTTCTTGCGAATTTATTTTTCATACACAGAGTGAAGTTTTATATCACAATTCAACCGCATTTGTTGTAGCACACCAACTTCGCAAAATTATATATATGTACATGATATGAAATAATTATTAACGTGAATTTAAAAAGCAAATTAATTATAAGCTTTAATGGATTGATTATCTATCAAAATAAAGTTTTAAGTATGAAAAAGAGGGAATCCTGCATTATACGTTCTATTCACAAATTCCATTGTGTGTATTTATACATAAATAATTTGACGAATTTCAAATATAACTCGTTATTTAAGCAGAAAAAAAATTAAGCCTGACAAATTAAAAAAAGGATGCTTATATGAGTTCAGTCTCTTGCACTAAAAAAGGGTCTTTTAGGTGTCACTTCATCATAAAATGTAGTAAACTTCGAACACACGCTTATATATTCATACTAATCGCACGCTCGATAGACGCCCCGCCTTTCCATTCAAATGCTAATTCTACAATGGCCTACATATAGCGAATGGCGAAGTTTTACTGTGCAATATGCGACTTTATTTAGTCGATATCATGTATATATTAAAAGTCTCTTTCCTAAAAAATTCTTTATTAGTATCTATACAGACTATACTTGAAGACTTTAGCTATAAGATAACACTGTTCTTATTTAAAAGGGTAAAATTCTGCATTTAAAAAGGGGCGAGATTGCAGTGTTAAGAGGATTCATTCTTTCAATGTAAAACATTGATGCTCTATTGAGGCCCCATCCTATCCTCGTGGATGGGGGTGAAGGGTGGATGCTTTGAACAAGCTAGAATCTGTATGACCTGAAGATGCTTGCATACTACTATTACTAATCCTCACCTGGTCCTGTTAGCTTTGAGAACATTTTTAAACATATACTTCCATTTCAGATTCCATATTGCAGCCCAACTGTGAACCCTACCCTCAGAAACCATTAATTTTTACTTTCATATTCTAATGAAAAACTCTTGATTCCTTTCACAAGTTTCTTTTTTAGAGGGCTCAGTGGTTCATGAGAAAAAATTTCATAATACCCTACATATTTTTGCCTTTTCTTCATTAATTCCCTCTTTGAGAGGCCATGGCCCTTTGTTGGAACAAATGGAGGACCTCTTTACCAAAGGATACTCTTTGCTAAGTTTGGCTGAAATTGGACTCGTTTTCTGGAGAAATTGTGAAAAGCTTACAGTGACTGAGCAACAATGATGATAGTAAATGGACAATTTTTTTTTTATCAGAAAAGCTCTCTTGAGCCTTCGGCTGAATCCTGTGATTTTAAATCACTTACAGCTGCGAGATTCTTGGCTCCATTTGCTCCCCCTGGCATGACGACTACGTCGTACGGAGCTGACTTCTGGGCCTCTGCCAAGGTGGTGTCGGGTACAATTCTTACATCTCTGCTGCAGTGCACTGGCTCAGTCCCATGTAGCCCCACCAACTTCACATCTATCTACAAATTAAACAAGAGATATTTGTAAAACAATAATACCCATTCCAAATTGGAATTTTTCTAAGTTCAAAGGACATAACTCTGTCAAAAATGGCTTGATTGTACCCAAAACAGAACTTTTGAATGAAAACTGCAAATAACTGGAATTTTTCTAAGTCCAAGGGGCATTACTCTGTCAAAAATAGCTCGATCGTACCCAAGACATATCTTGACCTAGATATTCTTATGAATTATGATTATTCTGTATAGCAAATTTCATTTCCATATGTTCAACCCCTGCAAAGAAAATGAACGGAAACTGCAAGTAATTGGAATTTTTGTACGTCCACAGGGGATAACTCTGTCCAAAATGGCTCGATCATACATGTACCCCAAAACAGAACTTGACCTAGATATTCTTATAATAAATCTTTATACCAAATTTCATTTCAATATACCAAATTTCATTTCAATTTGTGCAACCTCTTTAAATAAAATGAACAGAAACTGATGGTGGACCGACAGACAGACAAGCAATATACTCTCCTCTCTTGGAAGGTGGGCATAAAAATGTAAGTAAAAACCTCCAAAAGATCATGACACAAGGAATACATACATGTATGTAAAAGGAAAGCCCCCCCCCCCAAAATATCAATTCAGAAAATATGGCTAAGTTTACAGTTTTCAAAAGTAGGTCAAATTCCAAGGTAAAGGTCATGAGGTAAAAGTATTGGTACCAATGAAGAAAGGATTTTAATTATCACAAGGAATGCATAACAGGTAAAATATGAAAGCTGTAGCGCCAAGCATTTAAAAATTATGTGCAGGGTTAAAGTTCTTTTCAAATTTCAATTCTAGTCAAACCTAAAGGGTCACGGTCAGGTGTCAAGAATTGCTTGTCACAAAAAATACATGTGATGAATGAAAGCCTTAGCATCCACAATTCAAAAGCTATGTCCAAGGTTAAAATTTAATGAAAGAAGGTCAAAGTTCAAGGTCAGAGGGTAAAAAAAATATTGCTGAAAGGTCCAGTCAAATTTACAAATATCCATGTACTACTGTAGCACCTGTTAAAATTCAAATGTCAAGGTCAAAAGTTAAAAAGAAAATGTTGCTCCCCAAAGTTCTGGTCACATGAAATACAATTCAAAAATACAAAAGCACTAGCTTTCTTGCAGCTCTAGAGTGCTGAACAATTTTCACTTGATACAAGAATATTGAAGAAAGGCAGTAGACCCCTAATTAACATTGATTAAGTATTAATATTACTGTTAGCATACAGTGTCTTTTGAAGGACTTTGACTCTGAATAGTGGAATTTTAGTTTACAACACGAAAACATACATGTACTTGACAGTGTCAAACACTGAAACACATGGAAGTCAAGCCAGGTTTATATCTGCACAGCCGGCATGAATTTCTACTTTCACTTTACACGATAAATGATATGTTCAATGAAAGGAAACGTACACCTCCACGACGCAAGACATCAACCGATATGACAGTTTCCATTTCTTCTGCACCTTCTGCCAGCAACACAACAGCAGTCGGCATCTTGTTAAAATGTTTGCAGGACAAAAAATAACTGCGTTTTACTTATATGTGCAAAGTAAAAATGAGTGTAAATCCAGTTCCTACGTCAGTCTCTATTTTTCCGGAAAAAAATTACATTAGTATTTTAATATCTTTCCTTTTTCCCTCCCAAAATCATATTTTTTTAAGTGAAAAATTAAAATTGCTTTAGAATGTAAATATTGTTGATGGTGTTCGTATATTCATTTTTTCTCGACATTTCAAAATCTGCCTGTATCCCATGGTGAGCCTCATTTATGACACACGGGCTCTTCCGTAGCGTCCAAAGTTCATCCAGGCGATAACGTCAAACTTGTACGCACGCGTGTATTACCGGTCTCTGTACAAGAAAAATGGGGAAAATCAAAGGTATACGATCTAAAATGAAGAAATATTGTCGTTAAGCAATTCAAGATATGACAAAAAATAATAAATTGGCTTTGTTTTGCAGGAGGACCAGTTGTTGAAATGCAGGGAGATGAAATGACCCGGTAAGACATGCAAAAGTGGGCGGAGCATCTGTCCACAGCTGTTTTCATTACTATCATTTTTTATCTCTAATGAGAGAGGGAAAATTTGTTATCAATATCTATCTGTATAATTTAATTTTTTAATGCTTTCTTTCGGATATGAACAAGTTTTTTTTTTCTACTTAAATCCTGAAAGATGAGTAGAATATCGAATGACATGTGGCATGTCGGATTTCATTGGCGGATCTAAAATTAGAGCATTCAAAATAAGAAGGGCCATTAAACATGTCTAAAAAGGGGGGGGGGCAAATTACATTTATATCACCTTAATATTCAAGGGGGGATCGATAGTTCCCTTTGGCATTTTATAACATTAAATCATTTTAATTTCACAAAATCTAAATGATATTTCATTTAATTAAAATTGTTATTAATGAGCTGCTACAAAGTTTTTTTTCCTCAAAATTTTACAGAGTAATTTGGGATTTAATCAAGCAGAAGTTGATCCTGCCTTTTGTGGAATTAGAGCTCCATTCCTATGATCTTGGAATGGAAAATCGAGACGCAACAGATGACCAAGGTATATTGTGATTATATAACAGTTATTACTCAACAGTTACGTAATATTACCACAGGGTATACACAGGATAACAATAAAGAATTCCCTCAGTGGGGGTTTTATTGCTAACAAAAAATTATTAAATCAACATTGTTATTTCATCATACTAGATTGTATAAAGATATATTGCATTTAATCCAGAGTAAAAGTGTAGCTAAATAAATTACATATATACTTTGAAATTCTGTGATAGAGCAGAATATTTTAATGGATTGGAAAAACAAGGAAACTAAGAAAATTTAATTCTTGAATGAGGAAAAGTTCACCATCTGGACTCAAAAAAAAAAATAAAATAAAAATCATGAATATTAAATAAGTTCAAGTTGAAAATTGGGTATTTGAGTATTGTATTTGACACAAACATTGTTTGTGATACTGATTTATAAAATCCTTTTAAAAAAATACTTATCTGTTCCCTCTGATTTTTTTTTTCAGTAACAATTGATGCTGCCAATGCTATTAAGAAGTACAATGTAGGAATTAAGTGTGCCACCATTACCCCAGATGAGAAGAGAGTGGAGGGTAGGTGCCATATTATTATGCCCCCCTTTGAAGAGGGGTGGGCTTATTGCTTTGCTGCTCTCTGTCAGTCGGTTGGTTGGTCTGTCTGTCTGTTGGTACCAAAAATTTCAATCATTTTCTTTGCAAAGGTTGCACATACTGAAATGAAATTTGGTTTACAGATTAATCATAGGAATATCTAGGTCATGTTCCTGTTTTGGTGCAATCAAGCAATTTTTGTCAGAGTTATGCCCCTTGGACATGAAAGAAAATTTTATTTATTTGCAGTTCATTTTCTTTGCAAATGTTGCGCGCTCACATATTTATACACATTTTGCATTTCTATGTACACTGCCCATAATAAAGGCTTGTAAACACTTCAGTGTATGTCTAGGAGGGGGGGGGGGGGCATAAGTCTTTCACAACATCTCTTGTTTATTACAGATTGGGGGTACATGTTCTGTATATATATAGCAACCACATTTAATATTATACAGTAAAAGGAAGGTACCTTATATTTTTTTAAAGATTAGAGTTAATTATCACATATTACTTGAAAGAGTAAAGGGAAGGCACCACATTTCACATTATAGAGTAAAGGCTGATTACCACTAAAGTTAGGCACCACATACCACCTATAATTATTACATTATTGAGTAGAAGTTGGGTAGAAAAACAACATTTTTACAGAGTTGAGAGTAGATACCAAACTTTGTTTTATTCAGAGCAGGATAGGAACCACATTTTACACAATGATTTATTTTTTTTTAGTAACTAATTCATTGATAATTTAATTTGATAATTTCAGAATTCAATTTGAAGAAGATGTGGAAGTCTCCTAATGGAACAATTAGAAATATTTTAGGAGGTACAGTTTTTCGTGAAGCCATCATCTGTAGCAACATTCCCCGTCTTGTACCTGGATGGACAAAGAGCATTGTTATAGGCCGACATGCTTATGGAGACCAGGTAAAAAGATTATTTTATAACTATGTAGGAACAAGATTCAGTAGTCTGTCAGGTTCAAGTATTTCAGTTTCCACCGTACTGAATTATTGATGATGTATTTTTAGTACCGTGCCACAGATTTTGTTGTATTATTGATGATGTGTTCTATTTTTAGTACCGTGCCACAGACTTTGTTGTACCTGGACCAGGTAAACTCGAGATCAAGTTCACACCAGCTAATGGCGGCCAGGAACAGAACTACAACGTGTTTGACTTTACAGAGTCAGGAGGTGTCGCCCTGGCCATGTATAACACAGACAAGGTAAGAGCTAGGTACCGGAGTACCAAGACCTATTGTTTACATTATTATTTTACTACAATATTCAGTGATATTATAATTGCTCTCATCAAAGCAAGACAAAGCAGTAAACATAAGATTGTAAATTAATTAATTTTTAGCTCACCTGAGCTGAAGGTTAAGGTGAGCTTTCTGATGAAGTGTGTCTGCCTGGTTCTGTCTTCTGTTGTGTGTCTCTCACTCACTGTAAATTTTTAACATTCTGACTTCTTCTCAAGAACCACTTGGCCAATTTCAGCTAAACTTGCCACAAAGCATCCATGTATAAAGAGCACTTATGTTTGTTCTGTTCATACCATCTTTTAAGGGGAGATAATTGAGTGAAAATTTAATAGACCTTTTGAAAATCTCAAAAACAACTGGATCAGAAAAGACAAAATTTATGTGAAAGGTTTATCACATTGTGTAGATTAAGATTTGTTCAAATCAGGACTCTTGGGGGTAGGGTGGACCACAGTGGGGAATCAAAGATTTACTTAGGGAATATTTAAAAATCTTGTTTTCAAGAATAGAAAAGCCATGATTTGTTATGTTTATATTGAAGCATCCTCAGGTAGTGCAGATTCTATTTTGTACAAATCATGACTCTATTCCCTGGGTGGGTAGGGGTTAAGGAGGACCTATTGTATATGTAAACTTTTTGATACTGAACAGATTTCTTTAATTCATTATTCAAGCTAACTTCTCAAGTAAGCAGTGGCTCCTGGGTCTCTTGTTTTCAACAAGAGGAAAGAATATGCTGAATTCCCTTCAGTGAAAAAATCGAATTTATGTAGAAAATACTAATCTTATAAATGAATCAAAAGTGTATACATTATGTGGAAGCCTGTTATTGTAATAAGCTCATTCATAAATCAAACATATTTTGAGATAAGAGAGCAGTTTTTAATTCTATTAAAAGCAATATTTTCATAAACTGTAAACACTCTGTTCTTTTTTTTTCATTGCAGAGTATAAGAGAATTTGCCCATAGTTCTTTCCAGTTTGCTCTACAAAAAGAATGGCCACTATATTTGAGGTAAATTATCATTTTGTTCAATCTTAAATAAACAAATATTACTTTAAGTAACAATACTCAAGCTTAATGTTTACAAGTCAACAGATGAGAATTGGATTTTGTACCAGTAAGCATTTATTTGATATATCTATCAGTGGCACACCATATATTAAGGTGAAGTCTATTTTTCAGCACAAAGAATACCATTCTGAAGAAATATGATGGAAGATTTAAGGATATATTTCAAGAAATTTATGAAAAGTGAGTAGAATATTAGTATATTTAATATATAAATAAACATTCTCATTCATTTACAGTCATTCAGGGTTTATATATTGGCTTCATAAATGTATATGTATTTAGAGATTACAAGAAGTCTTATGAAGAGAAAAAGATTTGGTACGAGCATCGACTTATTGATGACATGGTAGCATATGCCATGAAATCAGAAGGAGGCTTTGTATGGGCGTGTAAGAACTACGACGGAGATGTACAGTCGGATTCTGTTGCTCAAGGTTTGTGATTTACCCAAAGCACAGCAACAATAAAGTTTATGTCTGTATAGTAGATGTGTCAACTGCCATTATGAAAAACATGTACCTGTGTAAATTTATTTTATCCCTGGTTGTCTGTAGGGTTTGGATCCCTTGGAATGATGACCAGCGTATTGGTCTGCCCGGATGGTAAAACCATTGAGGCCGAGGCTGCTCATGGAACAGTAACCAGACATTTCCGTCAACATCAGAAAGGAAGTGAAACATCAACAAATTCCATTGGTAATTAAAGCTCAAATTATAGAAAATATGTATGGCTTCCTTGAAAGAAACTGAATGCTTATAGATAATATTATGTTTGAAATAAGAAAGTTGGCAAACATATAGATGAAACTTGTTCCTAAATAAATAGTCTTTTTTTTTTTTGATTTGTTGTCTATGTGTAAATCAAACCTAACTTAAAAAAAACCTTTAGGACTGACAAAGATTCCTGAAGAAAAAAAGTTTTATCTTTGCATATAAATACTAATTGTATACAAGATCAAGATGTGAAATGACAGGTATAAAATTGTAAAAATTCTATTTAAGCTTCCATCTTTGCCTGGACCCGAGGACTTGCCCACAGAGCTAAGCTGGACAAGAATGAAGCCCTGAA